TTGACCTTTGGTAGGAAGGTGGGTGAAGTAAGCAGGTTGAACTGATTAGTAGACTCTTGTAGGACCTCTGAAACTTTATCACTGTTGGCTATAACATCCTTGACCATTTGCATTTGATCAAATGCCTCACTCATGCTATCCATAGAGGCAACTCAATTCCAATCCCACTGAGATCTCTTCTGAACTTGTGAATCACTTCCTTGTGACCTTGACTAAGTAGGCGAGACGAGGAAGCGGCAACCGGTTGGTAAGGATCAAGCAAAAAGGTTTTGGGACAGAAGAGGTCGGACTCGATCGAGCTAGAGTTGGACTCGATCGAGCTGCCGATCGAGCTTGTCGTGCGAGCTCAACTGGTGAAGTGTGAATGGCCACAGTAGGTGCTGCACTTCTGGTTGATCAATCTGGACTCCAGGAGCCTCAGCAGCAACAATCTCTTCATCATTCAGCAGTAAACAAAAATCTTCAATGACCCTTTCTTGATCCTCTTCTTCAACAAGTCCTTCTTGAGTGAAGATGACTTGCACTGTTCCTTGGGGTTCTGAATAGCTTTACCAGGTAGTTGTCCTTGCTTTGTAGCAGCAGCAACAGAAGAAGCATGATTCTCCAGAGAGTAAACCCTTGTGTTGAGGTTCTCGATCTTAGAGTTTATTTCAGCTAGCTTCTTGCTTGTGTCCACTACCCCATCAGCTTGCCCTTGAAGTAGTTGCTTTAGCATTGCTTGAGCTCATTCTCTTGTGAAGGTGCAGGCTGGGGCGGTTGGTGGGGAAGCCTGGTGGGATATTCATTTGTTGTCCAGGGAAAGTGCCTTGTGGTCCTTGGTAATTGTTCTTTTGACCATACCCATGTTGTGGCACCTTGACTCGATCGAGCTGCTTGTTGTTGAGGATAGACTTGGTCCTGAGGGTTAGCAACATCAGTGTTGCGGTATGACATGGCAGGGTTGGACTTGTAATTATAGTATCCTTTGTTGTAACCTCCTTGCCCATTGCTCATGTAGCACACCTCAGCAAATTGTGTATCCTCCCCTTCTTGGACTGGTTCCATCTCCTCAGCAGACACAAAGTTGACTTTCTTCATTGTGGACTGAGCTAGGATCAGCTTATCCAACTTCTCATTCAATGCCTTAACATCTTTTCTCAACTTTTCGTCTGACTCGATCGAGTGGTGGGTCGAGCTCCGGTTGGTGCGATCATACTCTTCTCCATAGCTTCCATTTGAGTTAGCTATGTTCTCCACAAGTTGCCAGCCATCATCTACATCCTGGTTGAGGAAGTTCCCATTGCTAGCTGTGTCTAGCATCTCCCTATACCTAGGCAAGCATCCTCTATAAAGAGTGGAGAGTAGTGATTCATTGTTGAATCCATGGTGTGGGCACTGACTTGTGTAGCCTTTGAACCTCTCCCAAGCCTCTGCGAATGTCTCATTGTTTCGCTGGATGAAGCTGGATATCTCTCCTCTAAGCTTGGCTGTGCGACCGGTGGAGAAAAACTTAGCAAGAAAGGCCTTCTTGCATTCATCCCAAGTGGTGATTGTGCCATGGGGCAAGCTCTTCTCCCATTGGTGAGCTTTGTCAGCTAGAGACATAGGAAAGAGTCTCAGCTTGATGGCATCTTCAGAGACACCATTGATCTTTGTCAAATCACAAAGCCTATCAAACTCATCAAGGTGGTCAATGGGGTCTTCACTTGGCAATCCATGGAACATCTTGTTCTGGACAAGGTTGATCATTCCCAGCTTGATCTCAAAGTTGTGGTTCTGCACTGGTGGTGGAACAATCCCTTGTCTCTGTTGGTGGCGGTTTGGAGCATCTCCTTGACCAATCGGTCGAGTTTGCCTAGCTCGACCGAGTCCATTCCCAAAGGGTTTCCATTCCCCTCTGGTACATCCATTGTATCAGCAACAAGCACCTCAGGTTCCTCTTGTACCCTCTGTGACCTCTGAACCCTCTTTCTACCCGTTGTAAGTCTAGCTCGACCAAGTCTTCTGTAGACCGACTCGATCGAGTTCGCATACACCTGCAAAAAGAGACAAAAACCCAGCAGTACAATAGAACAGGGGTGGTATAGCTTGATCGTCCAAGTGTGTTTGAAACTCAAATGCAACAAAAATATTCCCAAATCGGCAACGGCGCCAAATTGATGATAGGATTTTTGTGTGTATGTGATATGAAATGAGGTGGAATGCAACAGGGTGAATAAAGATGATGGTAATGGTGCAATCACAATCAATCAATTCCTCTTAACCATCATAGTCATTGAAGTATAAGAGGTTATCAATCCAAAATGGGAAACTTGTCACTCTATGAGAATATGAAACAACCAGGAAGTCAAGCAAGCAGTAAAGATTTGAAGTAACACTAACAACCTAAATAAAATGAAAATGCATGCAATAAAAGTAAACAAAGCAGTGAAGTGTCAGCTCGACCAAGACTCGAGTCGAGTAGACAAAGTACCAGCTCGATCGAGTTTAGGGACGAGTTGAGACAAAAAAGCTAAAGGTGACGACTTTAACAAGATAAGAGAGAATTAGGGTTCAAGACAGGGTTTTGCAATCAAAGGAATCTACACTTAATCAATCTAGCTCTTAAAACTCCTTGTATCAAGGCTTCTCTTGATATTGGGCTTCTCAATGCCTAGCCAACCCTTTCCCAAGGTGAAGGCTATCAACCAAGGAATGATCTCAGAAACAGGGGGTTAGCCAGTGAGAATCAAACCTTGGAGGCTATAGGATCATTGCCCAAACTAATCCATCCAACCCCTTAGACCTCTATTGTCTAGAGCAAGAGATATTGGAGCTCTTAGTGGATCTTTTCCAGCGAATGCCATCACTTTCGTGTGGGGAGTCGCCTAAGGACTTACAAGCCAGGGGTAGTGGTCATGTAGCCTTAAGATCTATCCAAAAGAGAGAGAATCTAGATTAAGACCATAAGCTAGAAGGATTAAGCATATGAAACCTCTAATCTATCCCATCTCAAACCCAATGGGTAACTACTCACTACACATGAATGTAAACACAAGCAAATGCAATAAAAGAGACATCATAAGAAAGAGGAGATGAAATTAAACAACTTTTATTGAAATAAGCAAGTGCAAATACAAAGAGAGATTATCCAGGATCTAGGATTCAAGAAGCAAGAGCTTCAAGAACACAAAGATGGGATTAGATCTCTAAAAAGTAAAAGACAATAAATTAAAAGAAACTAAAACAAAATAATCTAAAGCTTGGTGGTTTTTTCGTGGCTTAGAGCCTTTAAATACAAGAGGATTAGGTTTAGGGTCAAAGGAAAGTCAAGGGGGAAGCAACATTTTTCGGGTTTGACTGTTGACTTCTCAGCTCGATCGAGTTGAAGCTTGGCCGGTCGAGTAGACGGTCGAGCTGGTCTTCAAGATGGCTTCTCCCTTCTTCCTTTGCGTATCCAGTTGAGCTGCGTCCATGTGCCAAGTCCCTCCATGCTCCTATGTCCCATATGCTCCAGAATGCTCCAAAAGACCTATTTCAAAGGACCAAACATGCATATGTATGCAAATGCAACCTAAAACTAACATGAATGCATAAGAAGAGAAAAGGAACAAGATATGATGCAAATGGAAGCTAAAACTATGCAAAAGATGCATAAAAGATGTGCTAAAACTATGTAAAATGCAAGTACATCAGTTAGTATTATTAATAAGCATGGAACAACAAACTTTCCGCAGTTGTCTCCCTTTGGGATGTGATCTTTGGGAAAAGACGTCACTTTGTAGCTCTGTTGGACTCCTTTTACGGGTATGTTGGCTCAGGACATGTCGTGAGGCAAGCATGTTAAAGCTCTTCGTGGATTTGTTCAAGCGATTCCCCTTCATTCCCATGAAGAAAATCGCTCAAGATCAAACACACCATGGATAGTGGTTGTGTTGCCTTAGGCTTAGTCCAAAAGAGAGAGATTTAAGATTAAGTACATAAAGCAAGAGGGATTAAGCATAAACAACCCTTAGTCTATCCCATCTTATACCCTAAAGATGACTACTCACTACACATGGCGAAATACACAACTAAATGCAATGAAATAGATATCAAATGAAAGAGGAGATAAAGATAAACAACTTTTATTGAAATAGAAAAATGCAAATAAGCAAGTACAAGGTCTAGATCTTGGATTCAAAGAGCAAAAGCGCTAGAACACCAAGACTAAACTAAAAGATAAAAAGGGAAAAGTAAATTACAAAATTAAGCAAAAGTTGTCTCTAATTCGTGGCTCATGCCTTTAAATAGCAAAGGAAACTAGGTTTAGGGTCAAAGGAGAGTCAAAGGGAAGGCATAAATCTTGGGTTTGTCTTTCGAAAGCAGCTTGATCGAGTTGGGATTTGGCCGGTCGAGCTAGTGCTAACTTGGAAAAGTTTGGCCTAGCTCGACCGGTGGGTCACGCGGGTTGGTTGAGCTGGGCATAAAGGCACTACCTTTCTTCATCCTGAGCTGCGCGGTCGAGTTGAGTCCCATGCAGAGTCCTTCCTTGCTCCTCACGTCCCAAGTGCTCCATAATGCTCCAAATGAACATGTTTAAGGATCAAACATGCAAATGTATGCAAATGCAATTCTAAAACTAAAATTTATGCATAAGAAGAGAAAAGGAATAAGATATGATGCTAATGATGGCTAAAACTATGCAAAATATGGATAAAAGATGTAATAAAACCATGCAAATACATCAGCGTCTTCGATCGAGGCGGATCAGCGTGAGCTGGCTGGTTCGGTAGCTGTGCTGTCTGCAGTTGCTCCTGCTATCCAGCCTCCGAGTCAGCAGCAGCAGCCGCGGCAAGCAGCGCAGAGGCGGTTCAAGTTTCAGTTCTGGTTCTGGCAGGGGTGGTTTGCCTGCGCAGGGTCAGAAGAGGAGCAGAGAGGAGACTTCTAGGGTTAGTCAGATTCCTCGAGGTTCGTGTTACGGGTGTGGGAGCACGGAGCATCGTGATTCGAGTTGTCCCACGAGGGAGTCAGCACCGAGGGTGTGTTACTACTGCAAGGAGCCTGGGCATATCAAGCCCATGTGTCCTAAGTTGCGGAGTATGTCAGTGGCTTTAGTTCAGCCAGTAGCGGCTCAGCCATTGAGTCAGATTGCAGCAGTGCAGCTGTTGGGTCAGATTGCACCGGTGCCGCGGGGTTATTCTTCGGTGGAGACAGGGGGGACTAGTCAGACCGGGTAGAGCACAAGTAAATCTTCGACTCAGACTTTGTAAATTCTTAGTATAGAATTTTTGTTGTGTTGTGTTTGTTAGTCAGTTTTATCTGTAATAGAATTGTGGAGGTTCTCAACGCATTTGAATGTGTAGGGACCTTGTTAGTGGGCGGTTTTGAGTCCTACGTGTTGTCTGACTCGGGAGCATCTAATTGCTTCATTACACCGGAGCGTGCCGAGAAGAGTGGCATCCGGAGTAGCGCTGGTGAGTGCGCGGGCATGGTCAAGGTGGCGGGAGGTGGAGTCTTGTCTACTTTGGGCCGTGCTAGAGGAGTCGATATCGAGATTGCGGGGCAGTCAATGCCAGTAGAGTTAGTCCGGTGGAGCTGTATGATGTTATTCTTGGGATTGACTGGTTGTCGTACTACAAAGTTCATATAAACTGCTACAGCGGTAGAGTGGTCTTCGAGCGAGATGCAGGGAGGTTGGTTTATCAGGGAGTGAGGCCGACTTCCGGGAGTATTGTGATTTCTGCTATTCAGGCTGAGCAGTGGATAGAGCAGGGTTGTGAGGCGTATCTGGTGACGATTTATATGTCGGAGTCAAGAGCTGGAGTTGTTATGGGTGATATCGAGGTTGTCCAGGAGTTCGAGGATGTGTTTCAGTGACTGAAGGGATTACCATCATCTCGGTCGAATACTTTCACGATTGAGTTAGAGCTGGGGACATCTCCGATATTCAAGACGACTTATACATGATGGTGCCAGCAGAGTTGGCAGAGAGCTGAAGAAGCAGATAGAGGACCTTTTGTCTAAGGGGTTCATTCGACCAAGTGTTTCACCGTGGGGAGCACCGGTGTTGTTTGTGAAGAAGAAGGATGGCAGTTTCAGACTTTGTAACAGATTACAGAGGTCTTAACCGAGTCACTGTGAAGAACAGGTACCCACTCCCGATGATTGATGAGTTGTTGGATCAGTTGAGGGGTGCTACTTGGTTCTCCAAGATTGACTTGGCATCGGGTTACCATCATATCCCGTTAAGATGAGGCATATATCAAGAAGACTACTTTCAGGAAGCGTTATGTGCACTTTGAGTTTGTGGTGATGCCTTTTGGTTTGACTAACGCGCCAGCAGCCTTCATGAGATTGATGGAAGACGTGTTCAAGGAGTATTTGGACATGTTCTTCATTGTCTTTATCGATGACATCTTGGTATATTCGAGGAGTCCTAAGGAGCATGCGACTCACTTGAGGTTGGTTCTGGAGAAGCTTCGGGAGCAAAAGTTGTTTGCTAAGTTGAGTAAGTGCAGTTTCTGGCAGAGGCAGATGGGTTTTCTGGGTCATATTGTTTCTGCAGAGGGAGTCTGTGGATCCGGTGAAGATTGAGGCTATCAGGGATTGGCCTACACCTAGTAGTGCCACATAGATCATAAGTTTTCTAGGTTTGGCAAGATACTACAGGAGGTTCGTCAAGGGGTTTGCTACTATGGCGCAGCCTATGAAGAAGTTGACTGGGAAGGATGTCCCATTTGTTTGGTCAGCTGAGTGTGAAGGGAGAGCTTTGGGCAGCTCAAGAAAATGTTGAGTACTACACTGGTATTGGCATTACCCGAGCCAGGGAAGCCTTATGCGGTGTATACAGATTCTGCGGGCATTGGTTTCGGTTGTGTGCTGATGTTGGAGGGCAGAGTGATTGCATATGCTTCGAGACAGTGGCAGGGCAGTGAGCGTAACTGTCCTACACATGATCTTGAATTAGGAGCAGTGATGTTTGCACTGAAGATTTGGAGGTCCTACTTGCTGGGTGAGACAGTGCAAGTCTTCATAGATCACAAGAGTTTACAGCATATCTTCACTCAGCTGATGATGAACGCGAGAAACACGCGCTGGGTTGAGTTCTTGGCGGACTATCAGGTGAACATTGCTTACCATCCGGGCAAGGCTAACCTAGTGGCGGATGATGATAAGATTTTATGGTGTGATGAAATGATATGAAATGATGTTATGAATGAGGTGGAATGCAAGCAGGGGTGAATAAAGATGAGATGGTATGGTGCAATCACAATCAATCAATTCCTCTGTATCATCATAGTCAATGTAGTACAAGAGGTTATCAATCCAAATGGGTGAGATGTTGCTCTATGAATTTATGCAAAAACACAGGGAAGTCAAGCAATACAGTAAAGACGGATAAATCTAACAACCTAATGATATGAAAATGCAATACAGAAAGTAAAAGAAATCAGGAAACAAACGATTAAAGGCAACTCGACCTAAGCCTCGACCAAGTTAGAACATAGCATTAGCGCTCGATCAAGTTGGGGGTCGAATTGAAGTAAAAACAGAGGAAATGCGAATGAAAAGCGGTAAAGATGCAAACTTTAAGCTATTGGAACTAAGATAGGGTCTAAGACAGGGTCTTGGGACCAGGGGAAGGTTATACTTAATCAATCTTGCACTTTAACCACTTGTATTCAAGGTATCTCTTGGTATTGAGTTTCTCAAGCCTAAGCTATCATCTAAGGCAAGATCTTAGCCAGTGAGAATCAGGCCTTAGAGGCAATAAGGATCATTGCTCAAACTAACCCATCCAACACCTATAAACTCCATTGCGAGAGCAAGCATATTGGAGCTCTTAGTGGACCTTTTCAAGCGATTGCCCTTCATTCCCATGAGGGAAATCGCTTATGATCAAGCACACAATGGATAGTGGTTGTGTTGCCTTAGGTTTTGTCCAAAGAGAGAGATTTTTAGATTAAGAACATCAAGCAAGTGAGATTAATCATAGAAATCCTCTAGTATATCCCATCTTAAACCCTAAAGAAGACTACTCACTACACATTTCACAAATGATAACCAAATGCAATGAAAGAGACATTAAAAGATAGAAGATATGAAACTAAACAACTTTTATTGAAATAAGCAAGTGCAAATACAAAAGGATAAAGCCTAGATCTAGGGTTCAAGAGCAACAGCTCAAGAACACAGAGAGAGGCTAAGGTTTTTGCAAAAAGTAAATTACAAAATTAAAGAAAAAGCAAAACGAAATTAAGCTAAAGAGAGTTTCTTTTTTTCGTGGCTACAAGCCCTTAAATACAAAAGAGATTAGGTTTAGGGTCACAGGGGAGTCAAAGGAAAGCAACATTTTTTGGGTTTGACCATTGACTCTACAGCTCAATCGAGTTGGCCTTGGCCGGTATAGTTGGCGAACTCGACAGGTAATTTAAGATCAAGTTTAAGGTTCAAATAGATAGGGAAATGCATCAAATCACAGCAATGGTTGAATGAGATGTGCATGCAGCGATATGATAAAGTTAAACATGGTTCCTTGTTGTTCAATCAATCTCACCCAATGCACAAATAATCTAGAAATAGGGCACTCAATAAATCGCAAATGAAGCTCAAATTCTCAATGTCAAATCAACAATGCACAACTAAAACAGAGGTGAATGATGCAATCCTTAACAGTTCTAACAAATATAGATGCAAAAAGATGAAAATACTTTTAGATTTTTGAAAATTTTATGTTTTTTTTTGTGTTTTTCTATGCAAATGGATAAAAGAAAAACTAAGAACAGAAAAGACAAGGTTAAATCATCTCTTGAACCCTCCCCCAAACTTAAATCACACAGTCCCTTGTGTGAGAGAAATTCATTGAAGGATTCAAGAGGCAAAAACCAAGGAAAATAAAGAAAAAAGCATGGAAAATGAAATGGTATATACAAGAGTGTGGTGTTTGATACCTTAGTGCCCCCAAAGAACTGTGAAGGAAGGTCGTGGTCTGGAGAGGGCAAGCGACCATCAGGAGCACTCCATTCGACCACATCCATGCAGCTCGATCGAGCTTGCGGCTCCTCCTCTTCATCATCAAAGAGTGTGTGGCTTCCTTGGCCTTGGTGGAACTTGGCTCGCTGATGTACTTGCATTTTACATAGTTTTAGCACATCTTTTATGCATCTTTTGCATAGTTTTAGCTTCCATTTGCATCATATCTTGTTCCTTTTCTCTTCTTATGCATTCATGTTAGTTTTAGGTTGCATTTGCATACATATGCATGTTTGGTCCTTTGAAATAGGTCTTTTGGAGCATTCTGGAGCATATGGGACAAAGGAGCATGGAGGGACTTGGCACATGGAAGCAGCTCAACTGGATACGCAAAGGAAGAAGGGAGAAGCCATCTTGAAGACCAGCTCGACCGTCCACTCGACTCGACCAACTCGGTCGAGTTCCTCAACTCGACCGGCCAAGCTTCAACTCGATCGAGCTGGAAGTCAAAGTCAAACCCGAAAAATGTTGCTTCCCCCTTGACTTTCCTTTGACCCTAAACCTAATCCTCTTTGTATTTAAAGGCTCTAAGCCACGAAAAAACCACCAAGCTTTAGATTATTTTGTTTTAGTTTCTTTTAATTTATTGTCTTTTACTTTTTAGAGATCTAATCCCATCTTTGTGTTCTTGAAGCTCTTGCTTCTTGAATCCTAGATCCTGGATAATCTCTCTTGTATTTGCACTTGCTTATTTCAATAAAAGTTGTTTAATTTCATCTCCTCTTTCTTATGATGTCTCTTTTATTGCATTTGCTTGTGTTTACATTCATGTGTAGTGAGTAGTTACCCATTAGGGTTTGAGATGGGATAGATTAGAGGTTTCATATGCTTAATCCTTCTAGCTTATGGTCTTAATCTAGATTCTCTCTCTTTTGGATAGATCTTAAGGCTACATGACCACTACCCCTGGCTTGTAAGTCCTTAGGCGACTCCCCACACGAAAGTGATGGCATTCGCTGGAAAAGATCCACTAAGAGCTCCAATATCTCTTGCTCTAGACAATAGAGGTCTAAGGGGTTGGATGGATTAGTTTGGGCAATGATCCTATAGCCTCCAAGGTTTGATTCTCACTGGCTAACCCCCTGTTTCTGAGATCATTCCTTGGTTGATAGCCTCCACCTTGGGAAAGGGTTGGCTAGGCATTGAGAAGCCCAATATCAAGAGAAGCCTTGATACAAGGAGTTTTAAGAGCTAGATTGATTAAGTGTAGATTCCTTTGATTGCAAAACCCTGTCTTGAACCCTAATTCTCTCTTTATCTTGTTAAAGTCGTCACCTTTAGCTTTGTTTGTCTCAACTCGTCCCTAAACTCGATCGAGCTGGTACTTTGCTCTGACTCGACTCGAGCTCTTGGTCGAGCTGACTTCACTGCTTTGTTTACTTTTATTGCACTGCTTTTCATTTTTTTAGGTTGTTAGTGTTACTTCAAATCTATAACTGCTTGCTTGACTTTGGTTGTTTCATATTCTCATAGAGTGACAAGTTTCCCATTTTGGATTGATAACCCTTTGTACTACATGAACTATCATGGTTAAAGGGAATTGTTGACTGTGTTTGTGTTTGCATCTTACCACCTCATCATATACCACTGATTGCATTCCACCATCTCATTTCATATCTTTTCACATCCACACACAAATCCTATCATCAATTTGGCGCCGTTGCCGATTTGGGAATATTTTTGTTGCATTTGAGTTTCAAACACACTTGGACGATCAAGCTATACCACCCCTGTTCTATTGTACTGCTGGGTTTTTGTCTCTTTTTGCAGGTGTATGCGAACTCGATCGAGTCGGTCTAACTGAAGACTTGGTCGAGCTAGACTTACAACGGGTAGAAAGAGGGTTCAGAGGTCACAGAGGGTACAAGAGGAACCTGAGGTGCTTGTTGCTGATACAATGGATGTACCAGAGGGGAATGGAAACCCTTTGGGTAATGGACTCGGTCGAGCTAGGCAAACTCGACCGATTGGTCAAGGAGATGCTCCAAACCGCCACCAACAGAGACAAGGGATTGTTCCACCACCAGTGCAGAACCACAACTTTGAGATCAAGCTGGGAATGATCAACCTTGTCCAGAACAAGATGTTCCATGGATTGCCAAGTGAAGACCCCATTGACCACCTTGATGAGTTTGATAGGCTTTGTGATTTGACAAAGATCAATGGTGTCTCTGAAGATGCCATCAAGCTGAGACTCTTTCCTATGTCTCTAGCTGACAAAGCTCACCAATGGGAGAAGAGCTTGCCCCATGGCACAATCACCACTTGGGATGAATGCAAGAAGGCCTTTCTTGCTAAGTTTTTCTCCACCGGTCGCACAGCCAAGCTTAGAGGAGAGATATCCAGCTTCATCCAGCGAAACAATGAGACATTCGCAGAGGCTTGGGAGAGGTTCAAAGGCTACACAAGTCAGTGCCCACACCATGGATTCAACAATGAATCCTACTCTCCACTCTTTATAGAGGATGCTTGCCTAGGTATAGGGAGATGCTAGACACAGCTAGCAATGGGAACTTCCTCAACCAGGATGTAGATGATGGCTGGCAACTTGTGGAGAACATAGCTAACTCAAATGGAAGCTATGGAGAAGAGTATGATCGCACCAACCGGAGCTCGACCCACCACTCGATCGAGTCAGACGAAAAGTTGAGAAAAGATGTTAAGGCATTGAATGAGAAGTTGGATAAGCTGATCCTAGCTCAGTCCACAATGAAGAAAGTCAACTTTGTGTCTGCTGAGGAGATGGAACCAGTCCAAGAAGGGGAGGATACACAATTTGCTGAGGTGTGCTACATGAGCAATGGGCAAGGAGGTTACAACAAAGGATACTATAACTACAAGTCCAACCCTGCCATGTCATACCGCAACACTGATGTTGCTAGTTTGTATTTCTGATCAAGATCACAAGTACATATGGTTTCACGATCAAGTCTTTGATTGGGAAGTTCAAACTATTTTGAACAACTCAATCATTGACAGAGTTTAACACAAAAGTTACTAGTGTTTTTCAGATATAAAACATGACAGGAAAGACCGGTTCAAAATATCAAACAAACATGGCGCGCAAGGAAGCCACAACCGGCCAAAGGAGGATTTACATGCCAACCATGAGAGATGAGGGAAATCCAACCACAATTCAATCCAGGAGGGATAGAAAAACAGTTCGGTCGAAGCAGAACTCAATTAGCCCGAGTAAAAAAGGAGATATCACATTCCCAATCACTCTCTCGGCCAGAATCGACGAACCAAGCGACATAGCTCGACCATCTCCCAAACGGCACGACCGAAGTCCACCAAACTTCACAGGCGACCTCAAAACATCATTTTGGTCGGCAAATCTAAACGATAGGACGAGAAAAAGTGCCTGCTACATGAGATAGACGAGGAAGCTCAATACGGCCGACGGCGATGCATAGAATGGCCGACGTACTCAAAACATCAAGAAGGCGCGAACAACGGTGGAAACTGATCCTCTTGAGTCCACAAAAAACACCAAGGAAAAAGAAAGGAAGGAGACGATCGAACAAGAATACAAGATGGCCAAAGGAATCACATCCCGACACCATTGGCGCGCACAACGAAAGATCTCCGAATCCACATGTTCAAATCACCTCAAACTTCACAAGGGGCCACAAAATATAAGGTTGGTCGATGAAATTTCATTTCAGTACGATGAATCCCTTACAATTCCAAGAGATGGCCGATGGAGTGAAATTTGGTCGATCGCGAGCAAGTAAAATGGCCGACAATCCAAATCACGGCATTTACCGCGGCCACCGGCTCAAAACACCTCAATCAAGCATCAACATCGCATCTAAAGAAGAAAATCCGGATTGGAACGAGCAGAATTGGAGAAGGCCGAAGGAAGACGTTCCTGGAGCCAATTTGAAAAATTTTCAAAGGAGATCTCAAACCACACGTTCAAACGACCCCATACCTCACTAGTCGCCATATTATACAATATTGGTCGACGAAATTTCAAGATAGGTCGAGGAAATCTTCACGGTTCGAGCTGTAGTCCATACCATCACCATCCGGTCGACCAAAACGGACGAATCCAATACATCCGGGGATTCGGTGGCAAACACCATCAATACTCGCGTCTATGGAAGGCCTATGAATCCAAGCAACCGGGGATTCGGTGGCAAACACCATCAATACTCGCGTCTGTGGAAGATCCAAGCAAAACCTCTATAATAAAGAGAAGGAGTTGAATAAAAAAATACTTCGCTACCCTAAAAAAGGGATGAGTCAACTCAAAGAAGTGAGAAGAGAGAGAGGAGAAACATGGAGTAAAAAGACAAGTGCCAAAACAAGGGGATGAGTAAGAGTCTAAAGCCGGCTGATCGATACTCCCTAGTTGAGACCACACCTTTAGAAATGAAAGGAGTCAAGGAGGGTGAATTGGATTGTCCAAAGAGAGGTGGGCCGCCTTGGAAAAATCGCAAAACTCATGGTATGTACTCTTGTTCTTAATTCAAATATTTGCCTTTACTACTTTCATGTGGATTACTAAAACCAAGCCAACCCGGATTTCCTAATGATTTGAGAGTTCTTGCGTTTTCAAACCTCTCTTCCTCTCTTAGTTTGCTTGGGGACAAGCAAAAGGCTAAGTCTGGGGGAGTTGATATATCCATATCTTTCATGTTTTTATCAAGGTTTTCACTATGTTTTTAATACAAATAATGTGGTTTTTAAGCCCAAGAGGTAGTTTTCTTGTATATTCTGGTTTTGAGCATCATTCAGGTCAAAATAGCAAAGAAGAGTCCAAAATGGAGCAAAAAGAGTCAAATCACCAAGTTCCCAAGTCTAGAGCACCAAATCTACATTTCTCGCTAAAGACCAAACCGGAGCATCCGAAGTACGACCGCATGTTCATGCCTTCCCGACGTCCAAAAGTCATGATTCTTATATGGAAAGATAGATATTTGAGTCGTGACCCGCGGCGAAGTGGAAAGAGGTCATTTGGATCACTCGTTGGACCGGAACTTATTTTCTACCAAGACATGTCCGACGAGCGCCTAAGTAGAGCCCATGGAGACTTTGATGGATCAAGAGGCCCGGATACCGCGCCCAAGGCCTTGGCTCATCTTGACACTAGCATAACTCAATCCAGAAGCTTCCATTGGCCTGAACGCGGCCCATTCAAGAACTTGGAGAGCAAGCTCAAGCGGCTAAAGAGAAATGGAAACTTTCCTCTTCTGCGCGCGCTCAACTTTGCCGACCTAGACCCGCTCTCTACCTATATATACTTGCTTTTAGCCTCTTGTAATAAGAATCACCAGCCGCATAACAAGAAACACTTATTCAATAAAGTTCGGAGCCACTTAGGTGGTCTCCTTCTTCTTTCTTTTCTTCTTTTGCATTTGTATATAGCTTGCATGTTTCAATTTATATAGTCTAGAAGTAGAGATTTCTCCCTAAGGGTGAGGCGTGGTTTAGTCTATATTCCGCCGCCTCTCTCTCTAAGGATTCATGAGACTTCATCTACTATCTAAGACTCATTGTTGAATTATGGATCCTTCCAATGAGGACGTGATATAATGGCCATCGAAAATCGATTGTTAAAAGGGGAAACCCTATGGTTCTCCATCTTTATTTATGCTTAATGCTGTTGCTAGAGTAGCTAACTAGTGACTTGATTTTAGGTTGATATACTCTCCAAAAGCTTGTTATATCTCCGGATATAATATTTGATGGGCAAATCGTTTTAGGCTACGAAAGTAGACCTAAAGAGTTTTGTGAACAATCATTACTTGGATGTAATGCATGTCTCACTCTACAATGACCAACGAAAGCTGAGCCCATTGGTTTAAGAGACATAGGGGATTGGAACCACGAAAGTGGAATAATCCTTCCTTAGTGTTTTGAGTTCAAAAGAATCGGATTTTAACAAACTTTTCAATCGACTTGGCTCATGTTTTCAAAAGAGTTTTCAATAGTTCAATAATGTTGCTTGTATAGAATTGCATTGTTATTTCTTTTGCGTGTTCTAAACAAACACAAACCCTTGCATCTTTTGATTTAGCTTAGTCATTTAAACTCTATGATTATGTAATGTGTGAAATCCAATCCCTTGTGGTTCGACCCCTAAATACTACAATTATATGTTGTGCACTTGCAACACTAGTTGTCTTAGGGAATTATTACTTGTACTCATCCCATAGATGCCGCATCAACCTTAAGCCCCAAGCTTCCTCTCTCTCCATCATTGGTCGTTGCTTTGTTGTCTAGTGCTACGTAAGGTGAGTTGGACTCATGGTTCCCCTTATGTCTTCTTCCGAGAGTACGTCATGGGCATGACGTGTTGTTGTGATGTATATTTGTTTCTTCAGGTTCAAGGCATCTGCTGAGAGAGTTGTGTCTACGTGAAGAGAAGGTGTTAGAGTTGCTGAGTCGTCGTTTCACTTCCGTTTCAGCCAAAAGAGACTAAGGTGAGGACCTTGCGGTGATTTCCATGACATATGTTCATAATTATGAACATTTGTTTAGTTTTAAGTTTTAATACATATACCTACGTATATATTAATAAATTAGGTGGTTGTCCCGCACCTTGTGCGGATACAATTTTTTTTAAAGATTTTAATAATATAAGTAGTAGAATTTTTTATTATATACATTTTTCGTTTTCGCCATTTTTCGTTTTCGTTTTCGTTTTTCTAGATATAATCTTCCTCATTCATTTAGAAAGATCCAAAAGATTTTACACTTCTTAATTTGTTCTCTTTTATTCTTCTTCATTTATCTCACTGTCTTATTCTTCTTTCAATTTTATATTCGTTCTCATCACCTTTTTATTTTTCTTCTTCCAATTTTTTTTTCAATTTTTTCGTATATCTTCATATTTTTCAGCTCACTGTTCTTCTTCTTCTTTCTAATTTTCTTTACATTCTTTTTTGGGTTTTCTTCTTCTTCATTCGCCTCTCTCTATCTTTATCATCTTTGTCTTCTCTAACAACATATTATTCTAATTTTTAGTTATCTATTTTTTGTCTTCACATTTCATTTTTTCTTCTTTGATTTCTTTTTCCTCATGTTCGAGTTTTCCTCTTTTTCTCCATTCGTTTCAAGAGATACAAAAGATTTCCCACTTCTTATTTTGTTCTTCTTCAATGATCTCACCTTCTTCTTTTTCTTTCAATTTGATATTCGTTCTCATCATCTTTTTATTTTTCTTCTTCTAATTTTTCTTCTTCAATCTTTTTTTATATCTTCATATCTTCCAGTTCACTATTCTTCTGTTTCTTTCGAATTTTCTTTACATTTTTTTCGGTTTTTTTCTTTATCACCTTCGTCTTATCTAACATCATATTATTCTAGTTTTTATTTATCTCTTCTTTGACTTTTTTTTCTTCACATTTCATTTTTTCTTCTTTGATTTCTTTTTCCTCATGTTCGAGTTTTTTTTTTCTTCTCCAAATTTATTTTCTTCTTGTTTACTGTCTTCTCTTATTTTACTTTTATTTATATTTTATTTTTCTTAAAAGAATTTTCTTTTAATCGGTAATGTATTATATTCAGAATATTTAAGTGCATTAAAAGCTAAACCTTACGCCAATCAATATAAATCATACATCATAAAACCTATCCCCATATTATCTTCTTCCTTTACTTCTTTCATAATTTTTTTCCTTCATTTTCTACCATTTTTTTATTCTTATCAAACTTTATATTCTCTTTTTATTTTCATGTTTCTTTATCGTCATCTTTTTATTTCCTGGTTTTTATATGTTTTCTTCCTTTTATTTACAATTTATTTTTCATTTGCCTTTGTGTTCTTATTCTTCATTTTTATATATTTTGATTTTTCTGACGTCATTGTTGTTCACATATTCTTCAATTCTTTTCTTCTTATGTTTTGTTTCTTCTGTTTTTCCATCTTCGTCTTCCAACTTTCGTCTTTTCTTTATTATTATTATTCATGTTTTTCTTCTTATTTAATATTGTATTATCAGTCTTTTTTTTTTCAACATCTATTTATCAGTTTCGTCTTCCTCTTTATTTTCTTTTATTTATGTTTTCTCATCTTCTCATATTTCATATTTTTTCTTTATTGGTTTTTCTCAACATTTTTATTTTCCCACTTCTTATTTTGTTCTTCTTCAATTATCTCACCTTCTTATTTTTCTTTCAATTTGATATTGGTTCTCATAATCTTTTTCTTTTTCTTTTTCCAATTTTTGCTCTTCAATCTTTTTTTATATCTTCATATCTTCGAGTTCACTATTCTTCTTTTTCTTTCTAATTTTCTTTACATTTTTTTTTCGGTTTTTCTTCTTCCTCATTCCCCCTCTCTCTATCTCTATCATCTTCAACTTCTCTAACATCATATTATTCTAGTTTTTATTTATCTCTTTTTTGTCTTTTTTTTTCTCTTCACATTTCATTTTTTCTGCTTTGATTTCTTTTACCTCATGTTCGAGTTTTTTTTGTCTTCTCCAAATTTCTCCTCTTCTTTTTTACTGTCTTCTTTTATTTTACTTGTGTTTTTATTTGTTCTTGTCTACGTCTTATATTTCACCAATCAATTCATTTGATAGTTTATTTTCAAGGATTTGTGAAATAGTTTTTATCTTTATATAGTGCAAATCTTTTAAATATATGTTGGTTTTGTTATCTTTCCATTATGGATTTTCTTAAATCCTTAATTTTTCTATTTATAAATGTAATTTAGAAAGATGGATATAAATTTATAAGCAATGAATTTTAATTATGATATTCTTCCATTCGAATGTTTAAAAATGCACCAAAAACTAAACCTTGCACCCATCAATATAAACCTTATATCCTAAACCCAAGTCCCATAGTGTAACACCACCCCCTAAACAACCCTACATCATAAACCCAAACCCCACGGTGTTACAACCTCCCCCCCCAAACAACCCTACGCCATAAACCTAAACCCCACATTATAATTCCCCCCCCAAACCGCAACTCTGGACCCCACATTTTATAAATTGGTTCTAAATTTACTTTTACTTTTACTTTTATTTTATTTTATTTTTCTTATAAGAATTTTTTTTCTTTCTTTACTTCTTTCATAATTTGTCCTTTCATTTTCTACCATTTTTTCTTATTCTTATCAAACTTTATATTCTCTTTTTATTTTCCTCTCTTCATCGTCATCTTTTTATTTCCTGGTTTTTATTTGTTTTCTTCATTTTATTTACAATTTGTTTTGCATTTGGCTTTGTGTT